AGTATGGCAGCTATCTCCCCTATGTGGCAATCTATGAAGGTGGCCTATGTCTAGCAGTGGACTTTTAATAGGCTGTAATGGTTAAGGCATACGCATTCAATATTTTACCATCAAAAGAATACATATAACGAACGTGCGTATTACGTTTTTCCTTAATTACCTACTAGCTACCGTGCACTTGCTTGCTTTGTGGCATTCCTTGGGAGAGGCCTATGTTCAGCAGTGGACTTGTGAAGGGATGTAATGATAATGATGATGATACTAGCTACGTCTATTTTCAATGATAAAAAGATGAAGAGTATTTGACACATAATAGAACCTCACATGATAGCTAACTTGAATGTATTTGCTATTTTATATAAAATTGGTGACAAACGACCATACAGTCCACCTGATATAAATTGTATGCTGTGACCCACTGCATTTCAATGAAGCTGCTGCTTGTTTGACTTTTCTGACTTTTCTTAAGTACAATCCCACCATATGGTAATTGGTGGTGTAGCCTAAGATGGGAAAGCGCACTGACTTAACAAGAGCCCATTCACTGTTGCCATTGAATTTCCTAGAACACCACGAGAACCAGGATTACATTACGAATACGAAATCCTAATTATAAATACGGAATCACAATTACCAATAATAGGAAAATGAAACACAACGGAGCAGTAATAATTCGCCGCACGAGCACTGATTCCGACCACATCGCCCATTTCCAATTTTATTGCCTTTTGTACGACTTTATTGGACGTTTCGGCCATTTTATTTTCCACGGCGCGTGATTCCGTGACGCGACCGTTTCCTATGAAGACGTCTTAATGTTTGTTCATGACCGATAACCATGTTTAATAGAGACAAGTTAAACTAGGAAATTGCTATTTTTTTAGAAAAATAGTTTTTTTAAACATTAACTCACCGCTAGAATATCTCTTTAATCATGCCCTCCCCCCCCCTTTTTACATACATAAATTTCACAAAGCCAAACATCAAAATCCGGAACTGCACCACGGAGCCGTCAAGATTGTAAAAGCTAAATCTATATATATATATATATATGCGAAATACCACTAACTCCCTCACTCATCACGAGATCTCCAAAAATATCCACCCGATTGACTTGAAATTGGCAAATATACTTTCTCGACCCACTCACTAAAGAGAGGATTTTGAAATTCGACCCCTGAAGAGGTGAAATAGGGTGCTACTACTTTATATTTGAGAAATAGGGCGAGATTCGTTATAAGCAATTCCCCACAGATCTATGTTTATCTACACGTATGTCATGTAAGCCCTGAACGAATACCTAGGGAGACTGAAACGACCACAACTGCTGGCCGTACCGAACGTAAGGACAAACTTAATGCGTCAGGCGCCCCTGACACTTGTTCTCTGCACTCTTAATCAGATTGCCAGATACATGAGAGACATGTCTCTATGAGCTCTAAATATGACAAAATCTTTCGCTCAGTAAATATAATTTAGTGTTTTTAAATGCAACACACAATACACATAAACGATTGTACCTACCAGGATAACATGTTTTCCTAACATGTGGTTAGATAAATGGGTATGCATCTGGGTTATGTGTCAATTGAGTTAAAATTAATAGAAGAATAATTAAGATGCAACCTTGATCTAAAGGTTATGTGAATGCCTGTCATGTTAATGTCTGCAGTAGCATGATATTTTAGCGTAGGTGTTATTATAAATAGACATTCTTAAAAAGCAATAATTCTCATAATGATCACATTACAGCATAACAAATCCCCAGCTGAACATAGGGTGTAGGGTAATGCCACTTCCCATTACTAGTCTATGTGGGTTTTGTGTTTGTTGGTTTGATGGTTGCCAGAAATTCCTTTTCTTGTTTTTATTTTTTTTTAAATGTTTACCCACAAACCAGGATTTTTTCCTATATCGTGGAGGCAGTTTACATACATAAATTGCACAATTATTTTTAGGTCATACAAATACGTATTCCGTGCGGGATTGAAACCACGTTTAGCCACTGTGCCATGCCATTGCACTGAGCCATGGAGCCACTTCGTCGTGCGGATGTGTTTCTGAACTATTCTAAGCCAATGCGTGACTACTATCCCATCTGATAAGTGGTGATGATTTAGCATTTGGAAAAGTTGTTCCATCACCTACATGTTGGAACTTGGCAAAGATACAACAAAAGCCTTGTCAACATTCTACAACAATTGTCGAGCAAAAACTAATTAATATTTTGTACGTGTTAGTCAGTACGCTAGGCTGATACACATAAATGGGTCGGTTCAATCGATGAACCATCATGCACTTACTATACCAGTAAAACGCTTCTACCTTTAGAATGCTAAACGAATCGACCTAATTACTAATATCATGTGACTGACTTCATTAAATGAACTATTGACTTAGGAATTGATATTTTTTACGTGGTAGAGCCACGCTGCAACTATATCAAGGTCTATATCATAACTATATATGGGTCAGCTGGACCGGGGTAGGACCACGCTCTAACAAAACACCAGAGTAAAACAGCAGCCTAATGTTGCTGTGTTTTGTATGGTTAGTGTAGAGAACCGGAGATCCTTATCTATTGGAAACAAGACATTCCATCTTAGTTCTCAGAGGTCTTAGTCCGCATCTGCATTTAGATTCTTAATAGAGGATATGTGTAGATGCCTTTGGGCCACAGCATCCACTTACCATCAGGTGGACTGTGTGATCGCATGTCACCATTGTTCTATAAAAAAATATTACAGTAATAATTAATAGAATCAGGCGTTACTTTGCGGAAATCCATTATATAAAAACTTTTAGAAAAATTTACTTCGCAAATATCCGCGTTATAAAATAAAATGATGTGTCTTACCTAGTATGAAGAGCACCTCCCGCCCTCCCTCAATTGCGTGCACTATCTGGTGCTGGAATTAATGGTGACGGGGATAGTGCACGCAATTGAAGGAGGGCGGGAGGTGCTCTTCATACTAGGTAAGACACATCATTTTATTTTATAACGCGGATATTTGCGAAGTAAATTTTTCTAAAAGCTTTTATTACAGTAACAATTTTACACTTTAACTCATATCAGTTAAAAAACTAAATGATCAATGCGCCATCACTGCATCACATCATCGCGGTTACAAAAACAAATTAGCATGACCCGTTACATTACCATGAATTAATGTTTCATAACAGAAACAATTCGGTATAAGATTACACAATATGGAAAACGTTCTCACAACTCAAACCAGTCACACGTCAAACTGCAACCGAAGGATAAGACGTGTCGTTCCAAGGCGTTACGTCTCTATTATAAAAACAAGAATAATATATAAGTAACACCGTATTTTGCATGGAATAATATATTCATTAAAGAGAGTCTACAGCTAGGAGTTCTAATAGTTATCGTTAACCTAACAATTAGTTAAAAAAAAGTAAAATGTACTTTTTTTATAGAATAAAGGTGACAAACGAGTACACAGTTCACCTGATGGTAAGTGAATACTGCGGCCCATAGATATCTACAACTAAGTATCTTCAATTAAGAATCAAAATGCAGATGCGTTGTCACCTCGAGAATTAAGATGAAATGTCTCGCATCCGATAAAAAGGGTCTTCGGTTCTCTACACTCACCATATGAATCACACCAGTATCTAATTGCTATTTTACGATGGTATAATAACCACAGCTGCAGCGCGGCTCTACCACATATGATTTATATTTTTTATTGCAAAACTTTCAATCATTGCAAGATACAAAACGCTGATCGAGAAGGAAACTTTGAAAATATTTCAGTTTTTAGATTTCCAGTCAACCTGACGATACACATTAGCATTGAATGTTTGTCACGATTTAGACAAGGATGAATTTTACAATAGACTGACTATCTCTAATGGCTAATAACGATGCAAGTTCATCTGGCAAAGATAATAAACGGTCGCTCCTAACAAGGCGAACCGGCGACTCGATCCCAGCACTTTAAGGTCGGACGATGATAAATTAATATACCGTTGTGAAATAGAACAAAACCATTGTGTGGATATTGAAGCAGAGTCTCTGTTAATGTTAAATTGTATGAGTAACAAGTATTCCCTTTGAATTACAATTTTTTTCTTGATATTCGAATTCATGGCTTAAATTTTTACCCAATCTTCCTACTAAAAGTCTAAGAGCCGATTTTTCAACCCACTGTTGAAATTTATTCATAGTATGAAATACAACATGAACAAATAAAAAACTACAGTTGTGCAAACAAAATAGTTCAAATGCTTCACTTTTATATTCAACCAGGTAATAATTTATTTGATGGCTATCTTTTACTTGACGATTGAAAAATCAGACCTAAGACCTGAATGTCAAGTTTTTTTTCCTCTGTCGCCACCTACGTTTTACGTTACACACAGGATGATATGGGATGGTGAATATTCTTCAACCGCCACCACACGGTACAACAGGAAATCAACATGAGTCCGTTTAATAATAGCGATATATATATGATGTCAATGATTAGTCTGTTTTAATCGTCAAAGAAAAGGTCATCCAACAAATAAATTATGAACTGCCTGAATATACAAATATATATATATATATATATATTCTTATGCCAAAACTAAAATATATTTGTAAAGCTCTATAACCTCTTTAACTTCCATTAAATTCAGGTTAAGAATTATATGAAATGTAACTAGAAATAAGAAGGGTTTTCATTTTAGAATATGATGGCAGAAAATAATCAAAATTGGTTTATCTTAAAACATTTTCATATAGAAAGTCCTCGTGGTTCATACATTCAATGGTAACAACTACTTCCGAACAATCAGAAGCTAAAGAGCGCTGGAGCGAAACACGCCCCCGGCATCTACAACTCAAAGCCACGTTTCTTGGGTTTAAAAACAGGCCAAACCTTTTTGTGTTGTGAAATATTACTTTCAATTAAAAAGAAAATTTCGTAAAATTAATTTATCATATTTATACATTACTTATAAGTTAAGATATAAAAGAGGAAACTCACCTCTGTATGTAGACGCACTAAAGAGCCAAGAATGTTGCTTGGAAGTATCGGATCCACTCTTCTTAGGTAGAGGGGGCGGATCTACGATACTGGCCTGTCTGCTTCTACCAGCTGAAGGAGTCTTCACGCTCTTCTTCTTTCCTTTCTTCAATGTTCCACTATGAGATTTCCTTAAAGTGTTCACCTTCAATGACTGACTCTTTCCTCTAACTTTGCTCTTACTTCTTGATGTTTGTCTACTCAATCGTCGTCTATGTTCACCTACTAATTTGGGCGGGCGCGGATCGTCATCAGAATCTGTCTCTACAAGCGGTTTGCTGCCACATAGAGACGAATGGCGTTTCTCTTCTTCCAAGAAGAATTTTGTATAGTTAAGAATCTCTTCGGTGGTGGAAATTCTATCCGCAATTTCCATTACAGCTTCTACAGATTTGGAAGAAGTCGGAGCCTTCTTTCTTCTGAGGAAATTTAATGCGCTTACCGAGGAACTCTTACTCCCTTTTCTCGGTTTGGAAATATCTGTTGAACTCCCTTTTCTGCTGGCGGGATTGCTTTTATCATCTTTCTTACTGCCATTTCTAATCTGATCCAGTTTCAACGTGGATCCATGGATAGAATCTCTATCTTCTTCACTCCAAAGAGACTCTCTTGACTTCTTTTTATCAAAATTTTTATCTAGGTCCTTTTTAGTGTGGTCAAACCACTCGTCGCCTAAACTCTTAACCATTTCTAAAGGATTCGATAGTGACATTGTTTTCCGATGGCCTCTCTTAGACCGTGTGTCCACTTCCTCGTCGGTGATGACTAGTTTAAGGGACTCTTTGCTCATTGTTGGTGTTCTGCTGAGCCTGGGCAAGGCGTCATCGCTTGCAGAGATTGCGTCACTTTGACAATCAGCCGATTCGTAGAGGGACTCGTCACTTTCATCACGTCGCTCTGGTAAAAATATAATTTATTTTTACTAATTGAAACGTATTAAGGGTTTCCTTGCCATTTTAGATCGAAAAAGATATAATAAAGAAAATAAAATTGTTTGAGAGATAACTTTTAACACCTTTAAAATTTAACGAAACTTAAACGATTATGTCGCAATTTTTTTGGTGGCAACACATTAAAGTTTGGTTTTGAAAGGACTACTTATGTACTATTCAATACATAAAGTAACTAATGTTAATCTTAATACAACAGACTACAAGTTTGGTAAAGTAAAACTTCCAACATCTAAACAGAAATGGATTAGTCTCACAAGAATTATATTATGCTTCAATAGAAAAAAAGTGACCAAGTAACTGACAAAGACGCAATTCTTCAACAATAAGAACGAATTAACGAATACCAGCGTAAAACAAAAAAAAACGACCGAAATACCATGCGAACACCAATGATAAATAAAATACCTACTTGAACATTAAATAATCGATCACCAATTATAGAAACAATGAAGATTACACAATCACTATTTTTATTCCAAGACATATGCTTTATAAAAACAAATCGCATTTTTCTCGCAAATAAGGTTAAAGAGGCGTCCACATAAACCGACGGCGGTGCATAATGCTGTATTGCTGTATTTATTACCGTGTGAAACTACTTTATATTTACAGAACCTTATAAAGTTTAATGGATGTTTTTGTGGACACATTACTTCTTCAACTTCATAACTCTATGTTGAAAACTACAAGTTAAAGGAATTACCTACTTTAAACATTATATTCTTTTGTAAATTTTATTTATGCCAGTCACTAACATAATAAGAAAACTGCATTAGACATTTCGGCTTCCACACGTAGATAATGTTCTAATGCTATAAGTTTTTTCCTTTATATCTCTTACAGACGTCATTTGCCGTCATTCTAATTTTTTGACAATGTGTTTTAGATCTAAAATAGTAAATTAATTTAACAGAAACTCATATACTACTACTACAGTATACTATCAGTAGGAAATATATGAGAGACTCCGTGAATGGTGCTGTTTTACAAATGTAATCAAAACTGCGGGTAGTCAAGTATTTCTGCGGGTAGTTAAATATATTTTCAACACTAGTGAATTTTCAATATGTGTACACGTGAGTGATCAGTATCAAGACAATACATGTTTATGTACAAATTGCATGGCTATTGAATAACACAATGCAATGCTCTAACAAACATACACAAACACGTTTTTGCTGTTCAAATCAAAAACATTACCTCACTTTCTATGTCTGGGAAAAAGAATAGTCGGCTATTTGTGATAGACTTTAAGACGCTGTATATTGATATTCATATGATTTACAATGAGCAAAAAGAAAAGTTGTCAGTTTGTTAGCTTAGCTGAGTTTACTACAATTCAATATTACAAATGAAAGTTAATCACCACACGTCTGTGTGCAAATCCGTAGGAACGTTTAGCCTAGTGAGGTGAATGGTTTAGACTTTAGAGTCACACGTCGCTTTCTACGCAACAATAGGCAGCTTTACTCGAGATTAAGACGTGAAAGGATATCAGTGTAAATAGCTTCTTCTGTGGCGAAAGTGCATTACACTTTTGTTTTTTTTTTCAAAGCAACGTTTCTCCACGCGTTGTTATTACATGTGAAAACTTCATTTCATAACATGATACATAACAGAACACTTTTAGTAAATACAGTTAACACCCAATGTAAATTGCCTTCAATGTGAATTCCTAAAACTGTGAATAATTTTATTCATGTTGATGATTTCCTCCTGGCTGAAACTCTACTGCGACAACTACGGAGTATTTGAAGCTATCAACAACAACAACAAAACAACGCTGGCTCTGTGACCCAAAGTAGATCCTGACCCGCGAAGATCAAAAGCCACTTTATCAACTACGTGGGAGATATAGTGTTTATAAAAAAGGGATAAGTTTTAATTTTATTTATTTTTATACTCGTAAAGATAAAGCTGATAAGGAATAGTCGATAAAAGTTTTCACAAATGGATATTATTATTTTTGTTTACTGAAGGTATAAAAGAAAAAAGGAAAACAATTAAATCACTCAATTTAAAGGGAATTAAAGCGTCTTAGTTAACTTGGTTTGATATGTAACACCATAATCCTTTACTAACTAGTTAAAATTATGTGTAGACCTAATGAGAAAGGAATTTTGTCTATAATTTATTCTAGATGCAGGAATACGTATGCAAATGTCTCCCCTTCCAGCCCAGGAAGGTACGGAGATACTAAGTTTTGGCAATAGCTCCAGATAATTAACTAATATCTATCTGTTTACCGTGTAGCTGTAGTGGCTACCATAATATGTGCATACTGCGCTAACACAGTGTACCGACTTATCCTAACCTTTACGTTGTTTATATTAAATCTAAACTATCCTGGGATTGAATATCTCACAGCATGTAATTTACACCAGTTCCCCACACTCTTTACGCACAGTAGTGGATGCAGCGTAGTTTTGCGGCAGATATGATAAGCCAGAAACAGAGCTCCTTATTACGTTGCAAAGAGTCTTACATAAAACAAAAACATTCGCAAATGTGAAGTTATTTTTCCACGCGCTCACATTATTGTTATTGCAGAGAGCATCGCAACACAAAAGAGTTGTCCGTCCATACGTCAGTCGTAGTCGTAGACAGGAAGCACATTGTATGACGCGCATCAAAGCCACTTTTTCGTGTAGATATTATTACGTTTGTTTTCTTTTCAATGCGTTTATACTGCGCCAAACTTATGCTACATTTTCTAAATGGTGTTAAAATATTTAATCTCTCTTAGTTACATAGTTATGTAGAAAGTTATTAGGCAGTTTTTCACATAAAAGGAGGTGCAAACAAGCAAGCGGCTCACCTGATGGCATGTGACTAACGCCCTATGAACAACTGCAAACCCAGGAGAATTGCAAGTGCGTTGCCGGCCATTTAAAACACGAGTAGGCTCTTTACTCTAACGTCGGGTGACAAATTAAAAAAAATCTCATAGTGGTGGACCGCGCAAGCATCCGTTTTACTGCGAATTTTGCAATAGTCGAATGGTGGAATTCGGCGACTTGAATTTATGTACTTTGTTCATAAAAGTTAAATTTAACCAATCGCATAACAATTTTTCTACGTGGTAGAGCCATGCTGCAGGTATATTATGGTTGTAGCACGAATGGGTCGGCTCGACCGGGGAAGGACCACGCTCTCACAGAAAACCAGCGTAAAATAGCAGCTTAACGCTGCTGTGTTTCGTATGGTGAGTGTAGAGAACCGGAGACCCTTTTTACTGACAAAGAGGCATTCCATCTTAGTCCTCATGGGTGACAACGCATCTGCATCTTGAGTCTTTATTGAGATAGATATAGATGTCTATGGGTCACAGTAACCACTCACCATCAGGTGGACTGTGTGCTCGTTTGTCACCCGATCCTATAAAAAAAAAATTACGGCTTTGATAGAAACTGATTGTGGACGCCGACTTCTAACTTTTCATGAAAAATAAATATAAAATTTTACAACGCCTATTCATATCGAAATGAAATATTTCATACAACCCTTCACTGAAACCTCATGATGTAAGCATTACTAGTGAAGTAAGACTGCTTTTCTGTCTATGATTAGGTACTATTTTAACTATAAAAAGCTAGTGATTGACTACTTTTCCAGTATGTGGTAAGTGGGAGATGCCTAACTATTCATGAGAAGTAGCCGAAAAAAAGTAAATAGGTTTTTGTTAATCTTCACTTCGCGTTTACTTTTTATTTAAGATTATAACTCACTCTTATCTCTTTCTGCCATCAAATCAATTGATCCACTGTTGTGTACCCATATGAAGTGTATTGCGAACTCTATACATCTATACAAATAAATAAAATTGAAGTGTCTGTTTCTAATGTTGAAAAATAACAGCTTTATACTATATGCATATGAAAGTATATACGGTACTTATAACAAAACACGATTTTTAAAATTTATGTCTGTATGTCTTTCTGTCTATCTGTTTGTTCCCGATTTGGCCGGACTTCCACTGGCAGATAGGTGATGTTATAAGAAGTAACTTAGGCTACTTTTATTTTAGAAAAAGAATTAGGGTTCCGCACAAAAAAATTATAAACCATGATATCCAATCGTAATAAATTATGCGCGGCCGAAGTTGCGGGGAACAGCTAGTGACTTAATATAATAATAGTTGGAATTTTCATAAATTGGAATTGACAAACGAACTTATAGTCCACATGATTATAAGTGGCTGCTGCAGTCCATGGACACTTGCAGCCGACTTCAAATAAAGTAGGTTACAGATGCGCCGTCACCTCTGGGGACTAGGATAATATGCCTCGTAATCATACCAGCTCTCTACTCCTCCCATCAGGCCGAAACACAACTTGGTACGAGGATGGTCCCTTCCCAAACGGACCACTACCACCTCAGAGGTGATAGCGCATCTGTAGCCTTCGTTTTTTTATAGTATAGGGTGACAAACTAGCACACAGTTCACCTGATGGTAAGTGGTTGTTGTGGCCCATAAACATCTACACCTATCTTCGATTACGAATCAAAATACAGATGCGTTGTCACCCGTGAGGAATAAGATGAAATGTCTCGTTTACAGTAAAAGGGTCTCCGGTTCTCTACACTCACCATACGAAACACAGCAGCGTTAAGCTGCTATTTTACGCTGGTATTCTGTAAGAGTGTGGTCCTTCCCCGGTCGAACCGACCCATTCGTGCTACAACTATACCACTAATATAGCTGCAGCATGGCTCTACCACGTAAGAATTGAAAGTTGTTTGCAGGCGTCCATGAAACGCAGTAGCTACTTACCATCAAGTGGACTGTGTGCTCGTTCGTCACCCTATTCTATATAAAAAAATATATGTGTTTCGTATGGTGAGTGTAGAGAACCGGAGACCCTTTTTACTGGAAAAGAGGCACTCTATCTTAGTCCTCACGGCTGACAACGCGTCTGCATTTTAATTAGCAAAGGAAAATAG